ATCCTAGCTGCAGTATTCTGAACGAGCTGGAAGCTTTCAAAGAGTCTTTAGGGTCACGCTGCGCAGTAAAGGCGTTACGTAGTCGAAGACCTTGAGGTGACAAACACGTGAATGAGTTTTTCCGGCGTCTCTTTTAGGAGGAAAATTCCTAAATTTAGCGATGTTACGTAAGTGGAAGTTCGCCGTTTTAAGGTTGCGTGGCTTTATATAACCTTGAAGGAGAGTTCTGGTCAAAATGACTCCAAAGATTCCTCACAGTGATTACTGGGTATTCATACTGACTTTTACGAGAGTAACCATCTGGTTAGTGAGGGAAGTCACGCAGGCGCTTCGGACCGAGTAGGATCACTCTGTCTTCTCCGGTTTAGAAGTAGGAAGTTAGAGAGTATCCACATTTTAAGGTCATTACTGCAGGCACGGAGCTTTTCTAGCTGATCTGTCTGATAGCTTCATCGACAGATTAAGCTGTGTGTCACTGCATACAGTGGAAATTAATTCCATGCTTTTTAATAATGGTTCCAGTGGCAGCATGTAAGAGTGGAAAGAGAATCGGTCCGAGACCGAACCTCGGCCCACCGAATTCCCACTCCAGGATTAAGGCGACAGTCTGATTCACATTGCGAAGTGATATCGATCTGATAAAGAGGATTAAAACCACCAGGGCTGTTCCTCTAAGACCTATAGTACATACTAGCCTCTGCATAAATGCTGGGTCTAGGTGTGCAAATGCAGCACTAAGTCCATAGGACCAGCACTGACACTTGTCCAGTATCGGCAGCTAGTAATAAGGTCCTTGTGACTTTGATTAGTGCCGTTTCAGTGCTATGATGAGCTCTGAATCCAGATTGAAAGACTTCAAACATATTATTTGTCCTGCAGGTGGCAGCGAGCTGCTCAGGCTATAAGTTTTTCCAGGATTTTAGATATAAGAAGGGAGGTTTGAGATCGGTCTGTAGTTTGTAAGTATTTTCTGGGTCCAGGTGTTTAGTTTTCTTCAGAAGTGTTCGATTTCCAGCGGTTTTAAAAGCTTGTGGGACATAGCCACATGTGTATGGATGCGTTTATTGATATTTACGATAGGCTCAATTATCAAAGGGAAGTATTCTTTGAAGACCATGTCGGACTGCGTCTAACATGCAAGTTGAGGCTTTTGTGATGTGAACCACAGAGATTCACCTCGTGCTTGGCTCACAGCATGAATTATTAAAGCCCACGAGAGTCTAGTGGGAAGTCCCCCAAACGATTAAAATGGCCCCCGCTTCAACCTGTCCACCACTAACACAGGAGCAACCTCGCTCCAGCTTGTCACGGATGGATGTCATTATATATAAAGAATTGGGAAAGTCGACACTGCTCAGTGATCTTGAATTTTAGGCTCGATTGCGCTATGGCAGTTTTGTGAGTTTAGCGACGGTAACCAAAACAAAAATCTACTGGTTGTTTGATGACGAGAAGAAACATTGGTCAGACTCACCTCTTTTGGCACCGATCTGCTGGGACTGGGACTCAGAGACATTTATTCTTACTTCATAGAAAACCCGGGACCCTTTACTCAAGAAGTAAAGGTCCGTACTCAAGAAGTAAAGTCCGTGGTGAAAATCCATTTCTCGTGTTTTTCACCGTGGTAAAGTGGCCCAGCATTTTGCCACGCATTAAAAGCGGGTTGCCTCTTTTTGCTGTTACTTAAGGTAAAGGGTGAACAGGAAGCCGCGGGGATGAGCAACCAAAATGCAATGTTTAAAATGAATCATCATTCATGAATGAATGAATGAGTGAACAAGTGTGCAGTGAAAGTACTTGCAAAACTTAAATTTGTTTATGAATTTTTATCCCCTCATCCCCCCGGCTTCCCGTTCTACGTTTACCGTAGGTCACAGCATAAAAGGGTAACCACTTTACCAACCGTTTTTTGCTGTTCTTTTCTGAAAGAATAAGAAAAAAAGTAGTCTGTCCTCAGCGTACAACCGACCACACAACAGGAACAGACCATTTTATTTAGTAAAACCTCTCTACAAACGTCTAAAACTAGCGAACTCTCTAGCATCTAGACAGCTTTCTATGCTGTATTTCCACACGGTCACGTGACCGGAAAAACTATAAACAACGACGTCACTCCAAGATCCTCCTATAGGGCATGAGTAGTTATGAGCACGAGCACCATGATTGACAGCCCTTGGCATCACTTGATTGGTTAAAGTGGACGGCATCGTGGATTTTGACCTATAGGGCTGGAAAGTCTCATCCCAGAAGCACTTCCGGTTGTTTGCTCGGATACAAAGTGCTCTGCTTTGTTTTTGTCTCTAATCATCAAAGTTTACGCAACGCGGGCTCATTTTTTAGGTTTCCCAAAGACCATCTGAAGCTGTGGGAAAAGCTATAAGATAAATCAAACAATATCTTTAAACATGGAGAACATGGATTACTCAAAATGAAAAAACACACATAAAAACTAGTATATTAGTATCATTTCATATTGTTGTTCCATAAACCATATTCCTCCTGTCAAGACATGGCTCAAAACTGAACACATTGTATCTCCCAAGATGTATTTACTTTGAAATGTATTGACTTTGGTTTTCAATTTCAACACCACAAACCCCCAAAACCCAAAGTCCATTCTCACGGTCCATTTAATCCCACCCCAACCTCCATATTTGACACTTCCTCTCGACCCCTTTTATGGTAATGACCAGAAATGTCCACTCTGCTCCCTTTTTAATTACTCTTCTCTGTCTGCGTAACTTCAGACGACAGACAGCAGCAAGCAGTAGTCCAAACGGGACGCAAAGCTTGACTTCCAGTTCTCAAATGTACCAAAATGTCACCTCCTTTTTATCACGTTCATTCAACTCGAACAAACAGCCGGCGCCTTCTTAGGGCCGATGGTTGTTTGGAGGTGGCGATGGCTGTTTGGAGGTGGCGATGGCGTGGAGGTAGTTTTCTCCCCACACAATGGAACATGGATGGACTTTGCTGTTTCAAAACTCTGGCAGTGGTGAGACATTTGTCTCAAAAACAAAAAGCACATTTGTTAATACATTTCAAAATCCAAACATTAGGTGAAGGGTAATTCTAAACCAAGAAAACAGTGTAAACATTTCAGAGTGACTTTTAAAACAAGAGTTTTCCCAAAAATGTGAAATCTCACTTTTCTCATTTTCTAGTTAGTGAGTTTGTTTTGTCAGTTAAGTTTGAGCTTAACAGACAAACACTTAAACACATAAAACACATGGACAAAGGACAGAAGAGGACACACACAGAACACAGAAGGACATGGACAGGACAAAGGCCACATGGCCACCCAAAATGGCGGTCTATCTACTTTTTGCAATGTCAAATTCCAAATTTCGAGTATTTAGAGATCTTTAAAAGTCCAATTTCAGTTTAGATATCAATTCTAACACATTCATTGGTAACTGGGCATCAAATGACCCTAACCCCAACCATTTTACAGTTAAATACATACAGGCGTTTGATCTAAAGATACTGACTGCCATCATTGCAAGCAGAATACAAAGCTATATTATAAGACTTGTGAAGCCAGATCAAACTGGTTTTATCGTCCATAGACAGGGGACTGATAATGTACGAAGAGCCTTAAACTTCCAAATGTAAAACAGAAAAGGAAGACCCCATCAATGTTTGGCAGTTTGGACGCTGAGAAAGCGTTTGATCGGGTGGACTGGGGCTTCCTGAAACAGACATTGAGACACATGTGTCTTCAATGAGACGTTCATTAGGTGGGTCCAAACCTTTTATAAAACCCCACGGTCATGTGTAAGGATTAATGGGCATTGCTCAAGTTTTTTTCCACTGGAGCGCGGCACTCGGCAGGGTGAAGTTCTTTGGCCCTCATTATTTGCTTTAAGTATAGCTCCGTTAGCCGAATTGAGTCGATCAAATCCTCTCATACAGGGAATAAAAGATGAATCCAATGTTCAACACAAATTGTCACTTTTTGCTGATGATATTCTATTATTTCTGGAAAACCCTATCACTTCTGTTCCAGCCTTGCTTCACAGTGTTAAGGAGTATAGTTTGATATCAGGATACAAAATAAATACAAATAAATCTGAAGCGCAAATGATTGTTGGAGCTTGGCCAGTGCAGTTGGATAATCTTGTCTCATTCAGACACTCCAAACAAGGGTTCAGATATCTTGGAATAATTCTGACTTCTAAAACCACAGTTGTTCTCATCCAATTATGACAAATTATTAAAGGAAATTAGAACTTTTGGGGAGAATTGAATGTATAAGGATGAATGTTCTTCCTAGATTTTTATTTCTATTCCAAAACCTCCCTATTGTTATACCACATTCTACTTTCAAATCTTTAGACAAATTAATGTCAAAGTTCATTTGGCAGAACAAAAGACCAAGAGTACGTCTTAAAATGTTGATGTCTTCTAAAGAATCTGGTGGCCTGAATATGCCTAACTTCAAATGATATTCTTGGGCTGCCCAAATGAAAGCTCTGGGGGCATGGATCAGTCGTAATCCGGATTCACAGTGGGTATCTATGGAAGAATATTCTGTGCCGGGGATCCCTCTCTCTCAAATATATGGGTCAAATATACACTGAAATGTTGGAATATGATCCAAAAGCAATGAAAGGAAAGGTTGCTTTATCTCGAGCTATGACTATTCATAGAAATATTGAATTCCTTTCATCTTTATCAGATGGCAGTGGCTTTCGGAGGTGGGCAGAGGGGGGTCTCCTGACCATGAATCAGTTGTTTTGAAGGAACAGTTATTAAAAAAATAAAAATAATATAATATATATTAAAACCTTTGCCCAAATAAGAGCAAAGTTCAAGTTGCCTTCAAGTAATTTATAGAAGTTTTTACAACTAAGGAGCTATGTAATGAAACATGATGATTGGGAGCTGATTAGAAGAGACTCTGCAAATATAGAGAAACATTTTATCAATCTGACTGAAAATGGTGGTGTAATGAAAAAACAAGTGTCCTTGATGTACAAAAAATGCTTATGGACATGTCAGATAACACACATCACCTGAAACAGCAATGGGAAATGGAGTTGAGTGTTACCTTGGATGTTGATGTTTGGGCTCACATTTGTTCTGGTTGTCATAAGGGTTTGAGTAGTCAGGTCTGGAAGGAGTTTTATTGGAAGATGAAAACCAGATTTTTAAGGACTTCGTTAAAACCTTTCCTAACCAAGAGTAACAGGACTGATAAATGCTGGAGAGACTGTGGATTTGTCGGAGATCAGACTCGCATATTCTGGGATTGTCCCAAAATACATAATTTTTGGAGGAAGATTAAGGACGTTTTGGAAAATGTACTGAAAGTGAGCACTTCTTTGGACTCCCAAATATTTTTATTGGACATCTTTCCAGACCATCTTACCCCTGACCAAAGATTTCTTCTTCATCTACAGAAGAAGATGAAGAGACAGAGAGTACTGCATGTCCGGTAAGCAGTACTGGAGGGCTGCTCTGTGCACCTTTTTTTTAAACTTTTAACAACTTTTTAGCGCGTTTTTATTGTTCAGTTTTTTAATATATCTGAGTGTTTTATCTTATTAATTCAGTGGTTTCAGCAAATAGCGCTTAGTCCCGACTGAAACCCACTAGTAGCACAGAGGCTAACACAAGCTAACGAGGACATGGAAAGTGACAATGAAATTGGCTCAAACATGCACAATATTAGTCGCCTCACCTTGGAGCTCCGTGAGAGCGACCGTGCCACCATTGCAGAACTACGAAAAGAAGTCCTTCGTCTCACCGCAGAGTTGAATGAGAAACAATCTCTAGTGTCCAAACTTTTTGAAGTCGCTGGTGGGCAGCATTCACGGCTTATGTCACTGAGCGCTGCATATTGTGACACTGTCGTGTGGGAGAGATCCGTCAGCTCCGGACCCTCCTGTTCTACACCTAAGCGCCCGGTTCCGAATAACGAGCCCGCGGATTCCGAGGAGCCATCCTGCGCCGTGGCCCATGTCCTGAGTCTGGCAAACCGCTATGCAGCCCTCTCCACTGACATCCCGGCCCCCTCAGCAGAATCCCTGGACACTGCAGCGTACTCTAATGCTCGAGGATCCAAGTCCACTACGAGGAAAACGCTCCTAAAGGAAGCAGTCCTCAGGCGAAAGAGCGGTCCACCGGCCATGTTGGCCTGTTCCCCTTCTTTGACCCCAGTGCAGCAGCCTCAGACTGGGGTAGCGAGCCATCATCACCACCGCTCACCTCCACCGGGTCAGCAGCAGCGTCCAGAGCCAGCCCCTCTCACCGCTCCAGCGTCCCCGAGCACACAGCGTGGGTCGCCTGTAGCTGAGAGTCAGCACCCCCGCTCCTCCTCTCCATGTGTTCAGCGGCGCTCAGGCTCGGGTCCTGCTTCGGGTGAACCCGCTGGTTCCGTCCACCGAGCTCCTTCTCCGAGGCCGCGTCCACGTCCACTCTTCGCCCCGACCACTCTGATTATTGGAGATTCCATCGTGAGACACGTCCGCTTCTTTAACGCGGTCACTCGCTGTATTCCCGGAGCTACTGTACCAGACCTGCTCATACGTCTCCCTCCTCTGCTTCAGTCCCTGCCTGATACCGTTTCCAAGGTAGTCGTGCATGTGGGAATTAACGACATGAAACTTCAGCAGTCAGAAGTCACGAAGAAACATTTTATGGATCTGTTCCACCTCCTTCAATCCTCCGGATTATCTGTTTTTATTTCTGGTCCAATCCCGACTGTAAGCAGAGGTGACTGCCTCTACAGTCGTGTTGTGGCGCTGCATATGTGGATCCAGGCTACATGCAGCTCTTTTAACTTTGTCTTTGTGAATAACTTTGCCCTTTTCTGGAAACGTTACGAAGCCTATCGTCCAGACGGATTACACCCAAACAGATACGGTAGCAGCCTGTTGATGGACTACATGCGCCATGTTGTTCAGCGTTCCCCGAGGGGGGCGTGACTGTTTACATCTGAGACACATACATGAAAACACAAGTGAACTGTTCATGGGAATGCTAAATTTTGAGAAAACTCCATGCTCTACTGTTGATGAATTGTATAACTCTGTCACCACCAGTGTTCTGACTGTTCTGGACGCCATTGCTCCTGTGACGGTTAAAATAGTTACCAGTAAGAAAAAGGCCCCATGGACTAAGGCAGACTCGGTCAGGGCACAGAAGCAAGAGTGCCGGAGGGCCGAACGGAAGTGGCGAAAGTCCAATTTCCAGGGCGATTATGAAATCTTTAAAGATGAGTTGGGTGAATTTAACCGGGTTCTACGTAGAACAAGAGAAATGTATTTTTCTGACATTATTGGAGGTTGCAGTAACAATTTTCGTGTTATGTTTTCAACAGTTGGTAGATTAACGAACCCCCCTGTAAAGTTGCCCCTAGAATTTTCCTCTAAATCTAGGTGTAATGAGTTCGCACAGTTTTTCGATGACAAAGTACAAGGAATCAAAAACACTATCACCTCCACAGCACGTATAACAATGCAACAGCCAGAGAAGCTTTTTGAGCTAACTCACTTTGCACCTGTGGATACTGAAACCGTCAAAAAGATAATCATGAGTCTGAGCTCCTCCACATGTGGCCTGGATATATTGCCCTCTAAATTTCTGAAGTCCGTCCTGAGCAGTTTGTTACCTTCACTGACACAAATAGTAAACATGTCTCTGTCGTCAGGAACATTTCCTATGGCCCTAAAAACAGCAGTCATAAGACCTCTCCTGAAAAAGAGCAGTCTGGATCCTGCGGGACTTCAAAATTATCGCCCCATATCGAATCTGCCATTCATTGGAAAAATTCTTGAAAAAGTGGCCTCCCAACAACTTACTGAATTTTTAACAATGAATAATTCTTTTGATATGTTCCAGTCTGGGTTTAAACCCCACCACAGCACTGAGACCGCTCTAGTGAAGGTAACAAACGACATTCGACTTCACACTGATGCAGGTAAAGTCACAGTTTTGGTCATGTTAGATCTTAGTGCCGCGTTCGACACTGTCGACCATGAGATCCTCATGCAGAGACTGGAGGACTGGGTTGGTGTCACTGGCACAGCCCTAGACTGGTTTAGGTCTTACCTGGAGGATAGGAAGTACTTTGTGGAGATTGGAGACTGCGTCTCAGATCATGTGGCCCTGACCTGTGGAGTACCACAGGGGTCGATCCTGGGACCTCTCCTATTTAATCTCTACATGCTGCCGTTAGGTCAGTTAATACAAAGAAACAAAGTGTCCTACCACAATTACGCCGACGACACTCAGATCTATGTCTCACTGACTGCAGGAGAACATGGACCACTGGATTTGCTCCTTCACTGTATCCAACAGATCAGTGACTGGATGCAAAATAATTTCCTCCAGCTAAATGCAGACAAAACCGAAATCATTGTCTTTGGTCCCCAGAAACAAAGAGAGGGCGTCATTTGTCAACTTCAGTCTCTCTCCCTACTTCCTTCAGACAAGGTCAGAAATTTGGGGGTAATACTGGACTCAGACCTAAATTTCAATAGCCACATAAAATCAATAACATCAACAGCTTTTTACCATCTGAAGAACATTGCCAAAGTTAGAAATATAGTGTCCAGGGCAGACTTGGAGATTCTTGTCCATGCATTTGTCTCCAGCAGGCTAGACTACTGCAATGGCCTGCTTACAGGTCTGTCCAAACAGACCTGTAAGCAGCTGCAGTACATCCAAAATGCAGCAGCTAGAGTCCTGACAGGAACCAGGAAGTATGACCATATTAGTCCGGTCCTCAGGTCTCTGCACTGGCTTCCTGTGGCTCAAAGAATAGATTTCAAAACAGCTCTGCTTGTGTACAAGTCTCTCCATGGCCTTGCTCCAGAATACATTAGTGACATGTTGGTGTCATATGAACCGGCCCGGACTCTGAGGAGCACAGGGACTGGCCTCCTGCTGGTGCCCAGAGTGAGAACCAAACATGGGGAGGCTGCGTTTCAGATCCATGCAGCTAACATCTGGAACAATCTCCCTGAAAATGTGAGGGAGGCGTCTACTCTGTCAATGTTCAAATCCAGGTTAAAGACTGTTCTGTTTGCCTGTGCATACAACTGAAGGATTTTATCTCCATTTCTAATGCACTGCTGTCATTTATTTATTTTTTTTAATTTCTTGTGTAATTTTGAAAGTTTTAATGGTTTTATTCTTTTGTGTGATTTTAATGTTTTAATTGTGTTTTAATCTTTTGTGTGATTTTAATGTTTTAATTGTGATTCTGGTGTTTGTTTTATGTGATGATTTGTGATGTGGACTGTGAAGCGCTTTGTGTTGCCCTGTGCATGAAAGGCGCTCTACAAATAAACTTTGATTGATTGATTGATACTCTTAATGACAGCAAAGAAAATGATAACAATTTGTTGGTTAAAACTTGAGCCGCCTAAAAAGACACCAAGGATCAAAGAGTCCTTTTTACAAAGACCCAAACCTGTAGGAGGAATGGGTCTGCCCAATTTCCGGCTCTGTTATTGGTCCTGTAATATTCAATGTATACCTTTTTTAAATGGATTTCTTAAACCTGATTGGGAACAGAGGAAAAATCAAGCCTTTTTTCCTGAAATCATTGATATATTACACATCTGATCTTTCTAAATTTAAAACTCAGAACCCTGTTGTGTCTCACTCACTGAAAATTTGGTCTCAAATAAGAAGACACTTTCAATGTAATCATGGGGCTAATTCACCAATATCTTCTTAAGAATCTTCTTAAATTTCTTCTCAAGTCGTTCTTAAGTAGATTTCTAAGAAGACCCTACGTGGGATTTATCAACGCGCTCGCAAGCCGCTGAATTATTCGCAGCTGTTCTCTTAGATTGATGAATGCCAACTCCTCGTAAGTAGAGCAACTACCTAAACCAAAGAGTTACGATGGAGCAAAAGAGTCACCCTTTTTTCTTCTTTTGCCAGACTGAGATTAAAGTCATAAAATTCAAAGTCAAAATATTATGAAAATACAGTTGAACTCGCAAAGGTATGAGATGAATCTAAACAAATTATGAGATTAATTAATTTAAAAGTAGTATGTATTAATTTAAATATCAATCTCATATTTTTCTTATTTTAAGAGAGAGATTTAATTTTACCCGTAAACATAATAATAATGCATTAGTTTTACGTATTGCTTTTTGGGACTTGTCAGGAATGAACCAGACAGAGACGGATCGTGGTGCGCCAAAACGATAAACTACAAGAGCAGCCACATCTGCCTTGGGGCGCACTGACAGCAGCGATGCAACAAGCCTATGTTATCAGCGCCTCCCACCACCAACCATTCACACACAGATTTATTCTAATGTGGGGAAAGTGTCTTGCCTGTGGACACAATGACAGTTTGGCAATTTACAGCTGCAGCTGTTGCACTGTGGCACCTGGTTCCCAGAGGTCTCCCATCACAGTACTAACCAGGCCCTACCCTGCTGAGCTTCAGAGGTTTGACAGGATCTGGCCTCCACCTGCAGCTTTGGTCAAGTACCTGAATGATTTAGTCACATGTATTTATCATCCATGTGACTTTGAACTACTCATGTCCAATAAATATTATATAACTTAAATTAATAATATAATAATAATTGGAACAACAGAGAAAAAAACTCAACTTGTCATGACTCCCAACAGTCCTGACAAAAAAAGGTCCCTTCATCCATTTTCTTCTACTAAGTCCATTTCTGGGTCGGGAGGTGGCAGTCAGTCCCTCCCTGATCCTCCTGCAGGTGAGGAGGCCACAGGAGGAGAAAAAACAATATTGTTTCAAATAAAAAAATGCAACCCACATAGATTTATAAAGGTTTTATTTGCAGAAAAGCAAAGACAAGTTAAAGAGATTCAGCTCAATCCTCATCTGAGTCTTGACATATGTCACACGCGTGACATATGCAACATACCTGTAACGACATTGGATTATTGTAAAACTATATCATGTAAAGTTACACGTTTTGACCAAATGTTATAAAAAGAAACTCAGGATAGTATTTTCAGACAGAGCTCATGTTGACGTCTCCTGCAGTTGTATTGTTCAAAAGTTTAAATAAAATTTGACGTTCATTAAAGGCAGTAATAAGACATTTCACAAGTGAGGACATTGCGGTGTCAACGTTGTGCACATTGATAATAAATGCATCTGTTTTATCTGTTTTTTTGGACACTCAAAGACGCTTCAAATGTTATTTTTTCACTTCATACACTGTGGTGATAAACTACTGCTGTCGCCACAGCTGCCCTGAGGCACACTGAGAGAACAGAGGCAACATGGGATCTCGTCATGGGATGACGAGATCAACTCTACATCCCACGTCAGGGACAAGGTTTGATTCTGAACTTTTTACTCGTTTCAAGAAGCCTTTTGTCCGACCATAACAGCAGCTCACAGAGACTATGGAACTGTGATTGAAATGGAAAATGGTAAAAAGTGTGTTTTTTATACAAATTAAATACACTTACCATTCTTGTGCATACATTTGAATCTTCATCATCTGTAAGACAAAAGTTTTAATCATTAGGTATAAAAATGGAACTAAAAGAACAAAGTACAATATCTAGCTTCCCCTTACCTGAGCCTTGTGTACTTGTAGGAAAAACAGTCAAAGAATTAACACTCATTTTCTTATTAATAATAAATAAAGTAAGTCAGATCTATCAAATTGTTTGCTCAGAGCACTTACATGTTGATGTTACATGTGCCTAAAGAAAGAAACAAGTTTTATTTAATGTCTGTCTTATGTTTGTCTGGATTGTTACAAAGGAGACAGAACGTTTGAGTTTTTCACCTCTTCGTAAGCACACAGCTGTCAGGACAATGCCCACCATCAGACCACAGAACACCAGCAGGAACTGTTTCCCGGTGGAGCAATCTGTTTGAGAGGGAATGTGTTTTAACACATACAAATACTTTTGAAGAGAAATAGTAACCTTTTCTTCTGTTTCTTCTGTTTCGCTGAAACTCGCCAAACTCACTTATGACCCTCCCCTTCTTTCCCCAGCACCTCTTATTTCTCGGCCGCACAAATGCACAGACACAAAATACAGGTCAAGCAGTTTTAATAGAATCAATAATACATTTGATAATGAATTAAAGCCTCAAGTGGCGTCGCAGCGCGCAAAGGAGGTGGCGCTGACGCACCATCTTCCTACAGCCCTGATGGGAGCGACACTGTGCATAATAAATGCCGATGATCAGTGACTGTGCGTCGCCACTGACACATAATGGGGGGTATTTGTTGTCGCCACGGCAACAAAGTACAAAATAAGCCATGGGTCTAATTGAGTTTTTGAATCAGGATGGCAAAACAGATTAATGTGCAACAATTTTGAGACAACTAACTATCTTTCTGCCCATGTAAAACTTGACTCAGTCTGTAGGGGGCACTAATTCTGCAATTTCATGATTTATACCTCAGTTTACCCAAACCCAAGAGTTGAACAATCAACTAAAATTTTGTGCTAATCGGACTTTTGCCCAATACTCGCACTTCCACCTCGCGCCCCTCATTTGCGTGTTCCCGATGATGGGTGCGAGTGCGTAGGGCGTCCCAATTCTCCAGGGAGGCCTTTGGCCCCGCCCCCTTTGCACCCCTGATCCACACTTCGCCGTAGTCTACATCTAAGTGGACTCTGGCGAAGGATATTGCCCATAATTCTTTGCGGTACACACCAACACGTCGGGAAAATGCAATTAAGTCTAAGTTTTGAAATTTAAATGCTGTATGTGTGTAAATAAGTTTTGCTGTTACTTGGAAAGAAGCATAAATGTGATGAAGAATTACGGACATTTTATGCTAACAATTTAATAACTTTTTGAATCCAAACATTCATATAACATCCAATTTAAACTTTACACTTAGTACAATAAACTTAGGATGTATAAAAACTGACCAGATAACCTTTACCCACATTTAACTTAAAATTATACAGCTACCTAAAATTACAAATAACCAATATACATTTATTTTAACGTTTGTGAAACAACTCATTAACTACTACTTTTGTTTCCCACAGGGTCAGACGAAATGACCTTTAATTTGATAAACTTTAGGGCTGAAAGTGACCATCTCTTGACGAGTCGATGACGTAACCTGCACTCAGTGTGCACTGTCCCAATTTTTTACATGCTTGTAACCTGTCACTCAAACCCTCGCGTGCACTTCAAACAAATGTTTCTTGACAGTAAATCTGCCGTTTATTTTTTGCGTAATGTCAATATTGACTCGCTTTCAAAAAAGCCTGGATATGATGGAGTTCTTTTCTCTTTTCTCCCTCCCCTTTTTCCAATTGCTTTTAGTTTTTTTTTGCCTCATCCATCGCAACGTCCTCGATGCTTCAATATGTCGTGCTTTGCATAGATCACAGCCACAGCTCATGCACATCACACACCGCTTCTTCTATTTAAAACAAAGCCTCACGGGGCTGATAAACGCACGGCCAAAGCTGCGCTGCTGCAGCCGGTGTGGCCACTATTCCGTTTTACAGACGTCTGACGGGCAGCAGCCTACGCGCATAAACGGAGATGCGGCCGGTGGAGTCCTGGCCTAAGATTATTGTAAAGCACACCTGAACCTACAGGACAGACCAAAAGTTTGGGCACACTTTCTCATTCAATGAGTTTCCTTTCTTCTCATGACTATTGACTGTAGATTCACACCAGGCTGTGTAAGGGCTGTTTGACCAATAAGGAGAGTGATGGTGCTGGCCTCCAGTTACTGGACCGGAACCCAGTCCAGATGGTTTTGGACCTGAACCCCATCCAGATGGTTTTGGATCTGAACCCCAACCAGATGGTTTTGGGGCTGGACCACAGAGTGAAGGCGAAACGGCCAAAAAGGTCTAAGCATCATGGGAACTCCTTCAGGTCCTCTTGAAGCTCACCAAGAGAATGCCAAGAGTGAAGCAGTATCAGAGCAAAAGGTGCTATCAATCAATCAATCAATCTTTATTTATAGGGCGCTTTTCCTGCACAGGGCAACACAAAGCGCCTCACAGTCCACACCACACAATGCACAAATCATCACCATTAAAATACAATTAAAAACACATATGTAATTAAAAAGCATTAAAATCACATAAGTAATTTAAAAACATAAGAATCACACAAGTAATTAAAAACAATAAAATAGTTAAAAACACAAAAAGTTACAACAATAAATAACAAGGTGTGTTAAAAAGATAAAATTCTCTAGTTGTATGCACAGGAAAAAAGAAAAGTCTTTAACATGGATTTGAACATTGACAGAGAGGCAGCCAGTCTCACATCCTCAGGAAGACTGTTCCAGACTTTAGCTGCATAAATCTGAAAAGCAGCCTCCCCCTGTCTAGTCCTGACTCTGGGCACTAACAGGAGTCCCGTCTGGGCACTAACAGGAGTCCCGTCCCTGCGCTCCTCAGAGTCCGGGCTGGTTCATATGGGACTAGCATATCATGGATGTACTTTGGTGCAAGGCCATGGAGAGACTTGTACACCAGGAGAGCTGCTTTAAAGTCTATCCTCTGGGCCACGGGAAGCCAGTGCAGAGACCTGAGGACCGGACTAATGTGGTCGTACTTCCTGGTTCTAGTCAGGACTCGGGCTGCAGCATTTTGAATATACTGCAGCTGTTTTACTGCATGTTTGGAGATACCTGTGAGCAGGCCATTGCAGTAATCCAGCCTACTGGAAACAAAAGAATGGATAAGAATCTCCAAGTCTGCCCTGGACACAATATTTTTAATTTTGGCAATATTTTTCAGATGATAAAAAGCTGCTGATGTTACCGATCCAATGTGGCTATTGAAGTTTAAGTCAGAGTCCATTATTACTCCCAGATTTCTGACCTTATTTAAAGGCCTTAGGGAGAGAGACTGAAGGTGACAAATGACGGTCTCTCTTTGTTTCTCGGGACCAAAGACAATCATTTCGGTTTTGTCCGCATTTAGCTGGAGAAAATTGCATTGCATCCACTCACTGATCCGCTGGATACAGCGAAGGAGTGAGTCCACCGGTCCATGCTCTCCTGCAGTCAGTGAGACATAGATCTGAGTGTCATCAGCGTAATTGTGGTAGGACACTTTCATACTTTGAATTAACTGACCTAATGGCAGCATGTAAATATTGAACAGGAGAGGTCCCAGAATCGACCCCTGTGGCACTCCGCAGGTCAGGGCCATATTATCTGAGACATAGTCTCCAATCTCCACACAATACTTCCTTTCTTCTAGATAGGACCTAAACCAGCTTAGGGCAGTACCAGCAACACCAACCCAGTCCTCCAGTCTCTGCATGAGAATCTCATGGTCAACGGTGTCGAAAGCGGCACTCAGATCTAACATGACTAAAACAGAGACTTTTCCTGCATCAGTGTTAAGCCGAATATCATTTGTTACCTTGACTAGAGCGGTCTCAGTACTGTGGTGTGGTCTAAAGCCAGACTGAAACATGTCAAATGAGTCATTAGATATTAAAAATTCAGTAAGTTGTTGGTAGGCAACTTTTTCAAGAATTTTTCCCATGAATGGCAGATTTGAGATGGGACGGTAATTTTCAAGTACCGCAGCATCCAAACTGCTCTTTTTTAGGAGGGGCCTGATGACTGCCTTTTTCAGGGCCATTGGAAATGTTCCAGATAAAAAAGACATGTTTACTATTTGTGTCAATGAGGGTAATAGACTACACATAACAGACTTCAGAAATCTAGGAGGTAGTACATCCAGACTGCAGGTAGAGGAACTAAGACCTGTGATTATCTTTTTAACAGTTTCATCATTGACAGGTGCAAATTGAGCTAGCTCACAAAGCCTCACTGGATGTTGCATTGTTACTTGTGTTGTAGAGGTGATGGTATTTCTGATACCCTGAACCTTGTCTCTGAAGAACTGTGCAAACTCATTACACCTGGATTTGGAGTAGTGTTCTAATGGCAACTCAACAGGGGGGTTCGTTAATCTATTGATTGTTGAAAATAGAACACGCAGATTATTGCTGCAGCCTTCAATAGTTTCAGAAAAGTATAATTCTCTTGTTCTACGTAGTACTCTGTTAAACTCACACAACTTCTCTTTTAAGAGTTTATAATCACCCTGGAGGTGCTACTTTGAAGAACCAGAATATAACACATATTTTCAGTTGTTTCCTACTTTTTTTAGTACGTACATAATTCCATATGAGTGAATTCATAGTTTTCATGCCTTCAGTGTGAATCTACAATTTTCATAATCATGAAAATAAAAAAAACTCTTTGAATGAGAAGGTGTGTCCAAACTTTTGGTCTGTACTGTAAGTCACTGAATTATCTCAGCAGCAGTGGTTGTCAACTCATGTAATTTAATTTTAATACACAAGATGTCGCCAGAATACTCCAACCTGCTACTGGGGCGTGTGTGAGAGTTGGATGGATTTATATCACTGGCGCAGACAGATGCACATCACACACAAACTGGACCAAATTCAAATTTAGTTCCACCAAAAAGGTAGAGAGGGCGCCACAAACATTTTTAGGCTCAAAAGTGAGATTTTATCTAATTTGCATTCAAAAAAGCAGCGTTTCCGTCGAATTGTTATTCACGCGGGTGGTAATGACGTTCGGCGGAAACAGTCCGAGGTGTTGAAGCTGCAAGTCGCCGCGGTGTGCAAGCTGGCTAGCACAATGGCCGACACTGTCATCTTCTCTGGGCCCCTACCTAGCACTAGCAGTGCAGAAGCATTCAGCAGACACTCAGCTTTCAACCGCTGGCTGTCTGGCTGGTGCCCTCAAAGTGGTGTTGTTCATGTTGACAATCGGAGTGCCTTTTGGGGAAAGCCCGGTCTCATCCGCTCGGATGATATCCACCCAACGTTGGCGGGTACATCCCTTTTGGCTAAGAATTTGGCCCTGGCTCTAAATTGTTCTGCTCGGCTCAAATGACGGTGCAGAACTGAGGCCCGGGTGCAGAGCTGCTCTGCCACAACCTCTGAGCCCCCATCTGTTCAGTTACTAGCCTCAGAAGCTAGTCAGATTGAAACTGTGTGTGCATGTGTGTGTGTGCCTGTGTGTGCTCAGTTACTAGCCTCAGAACCTAGTCAGATTGAAACTGTGTGTGTTCCTCGCTTGAAGTCTAAAGCACTATATGCGAGGAAATCTGACCTGGGTGTCAGACACAGTAACTTAATAAAAGTTCAGACAGACAGAAATAGTTCTAACAGTAGGGTTGTTAAATGTGGATTAATGAACGTCAGATCAATCTCGTCTAAATCGCTTCTCATAAACGAACTTATTATAGACAAGGGCTTGGATTTGTTTGCGCTCTCGGAGACTTGGCTCCAACAAGACGACTACGTTAGATTGAATGAGTGCACTCCTCCGACGCATGTTAACTACCAGAAAGCCAGAACTACAAGTCGCGGCGGTGGCGTTGCGATTATATCACACACCAACTTACTTCTTAGTCCCAAAACCAACAATGCTTTTCACTCGTTTGAAAACTTTAACACTTTCAATCACCTGTCCTGGGTGGAGAAAACAACCAGGAGTTGTATACCGACCTCCTGGTCCTTGTAGTTCCTAACAGAATTCTCTAACTTCATTTCATTTTCAAGCCCTTTATTGTCCATTTCTGGGTCAGGGTGGTGGCAATGAGAGCTGCCACCTAATGCTCATTGCACCAGTCCCTCGCTGATCCTCTGCAGGGGGTGAGTCCACAGAAAGATGGCTGCTGGTGAAACAGCCTTGGTCTTTCAGCGGGGGCTTCAGGCAAAGTGTCTTGCCCAAGGACACAACAACAGTAGACATCAGTGGGAGCAGTTGGAGTAGGTCCCATGGTGGGAATCGAACTCACAACCTCCAGGCTCAAATGCCTCTGCTCTACCAACTGAGCTACTGTCGTCATTTCATTTCATTTCATTTCATTTCATTTCATGAATGAAATGAAATGTGTGGACGACAGCACTGACAGCTTAAACAAAGCTTTCAGCGCCGTACTAGATGGTGTTGGTTTTACTCAGAATGTTGAGGAACCTACTCACATTCTCTTTATTCAAGGCTAGGTTTAAAACAGTCCTCTTTAGTTTAGCATATGGCTAGGAAGGTAAGACTCAGGGAAGGCTAAACTCCTCAGACTGTCAGTCAAGCTGCATAGGGAGTCAGTTTGCTGGGAGAAGTATGGTGACTTGAGCACTATCCTCTCCTCCTTCCTACTTTATCTGTTTAGCATTGTTAGGATTTTGACTGTTTGTCTGTTTCATGGTACGATGACGGGATCTCTGAGCCTGGCCTCTTCCATCTACACCTGCGGACTGCCCCGCCCGACCCGCCTGGGAGTGCTTCAGTCCTGCACCGGACCTGTCCACGTTCAGCGGCCACTGGTCCACGTTCTGTAGCTAGCTTAGGTCCTAGATCATTAGCCTGTCCGTCCGGAGGAGCGGATCCCTTTCTCATATGGGTCTCCCTCCCTGTGGGTTTCCCTAGTTCTCCCCAAGGTTTCTCACTTTTTCCCACTGGGTTTTTTAAGAGTTGTTCCTTGTCGATGCAGGAGGGTCTTGTTGGACAGTTAGTGTCCAACAGAAAGGATTGGTGATGATCAGGACACTTTAGCATTCTACAACATGTATGGACATTTTCTTCTGTGTGTGCTTTATATTCTTCATGTGTTTTAACTTCACCCAGGCATTATGTTTTGGGAAAGCATAGGCCCTTACCCCAGATGGGGCTCGGGCCTAAAAATGAGAAACCAGAAGGTGGGGAAGCATATCTGCAGTTATTTTACAAGGCTAAATTGTCAAAAATAAAGAGAAAATAAATGTAATCAGACTGAACTGACCTGTGCACTGAGGAGGAGTCTCTTTGTCTGCAGTCTTTGTCACTTTACTATCAAGAGGAAGATTAGTCTCCGAGTCATTGTGGAGAGGAGAATTATACTCTCCCTTAAAGTCTGCAAAGAAAACAGTTCATCAGTAAAAAGATCACGTGATACATTTAATTGTATATTGATCGTGTTTGATGGTGTTTACTTTTGAATGTGCTGGAAAACTGCAGCAAGTTCTAAGTGTCTCTGAAACAGCTGTTGTTTTGTGATTTACAATTGTTATTTTTCATTCTTTTTTCTACCTAGAGATGTTGCTGCAGTTCAGTGTTCATGGTTTTACACTGGTCCAGACCAGAGCAGAGAGGATTCATGGTTTTACACTGGTCCAGACCAGAGCAGAGAGGATTCATGGTTTTACACTGGTCCACACTAGAGCAGAGAGGATTCATGGTTTTAGTAAGTACGTTTTTTAAAATTTATATACCGCCTTTTCACTGCAGATCTGAGTCTCAAAGCAGTTTACAATTGTTAATTTTGGGCATTTGTCTCTCACTCCACACAGAGATGGGAGGGGCCAGTACAGGAGGCACATGCCAGAACTATTGGACATATTTTTAGTGGTAGGGGAAACCGGAGTACCCGGAGGAAACCTACGCAGACACGGGGAGAACATGCAAACTCCACTCAGAAAGGCCCTGGTCCGACCGGGATTCAAACCCAGGATCTTCTTGCTGAGAGGCGAGAGTGCTATCCACTCAGCCACCGTGCCGTTTTAAACGCCACTTGTTGTCCACATGCCGTTTTAAACGCCATTTGTTGTGTACATGCCACTAATCAGCTGTGGCAGGTGCCGGTGCCACAAAAGGAGCCTGCCCTTACTGCAAAAATAGCGCCCACAATAAATTTGTGAATGAACGCATCTGCACATGCGTCAGCTGCACGAGTCCCATTCATTTGAACGAGTGACTTCAAAAATTCACAGCGACTAAACTAGACTGGTCCAAAACACTCCCCTCAGCATTGACACACATGTGGAACAGAGCTTTCGGCCAAAAGCCAACTTTTGGACCATCCTGTAAAGACGTTTTCGAGAGGTCTGCCAATGCTATATGTTAGCATTGGCCAATTCTTATTCCATGTCCACCCCCATCGGCTCGGGGTGGTACTGCAGCATGTCAGCGCACGTCATTTTGGCCACTTTTGAGCCGGGATCCGCCCCCATTGGGTTTTACATTGGTCCAGACCAGAGCAGAGAAGATTCATGGTCCGAACCAAGCAGATCATCCGAAAATCCACTGGAGGAATGCTAACTTTTTGAAAAATGCTAATGAAGCATTTAGCATTTTACTTTGGACTATGAGCAGAGAACGACGGGTCACCTTTTGACCCGTCCTTCTCCACCCAGAGGCTACTCCACCTCTGCTGCTGTGACCTGAAGGTGTTGCTGATCATTACTATCGTTATCCTTGTCAATGATCAATTTGTATCTTTATTTTTTCTGCTACTGGACACAAGAATTTCACCTAAGGGATCCATAAAGTATCTTTCTGTCTATCTGTCTTAATATCATTTTACCGGAAAAATATTAAAGGTCATGGTAAACCTGAGAGCAGTTTCTGTAAGCGTTAATGTAATCACAGTTGATGACTTTTCTCTTTTTGTCATTAAAAAGGGTCAACACTTTAACCTCTGCAATATAAAACTGGCAAATTATTTGGTTATTTTACATTTGTCCATTGGAGCAATATGTGTACATTCCAAAATCCAGGAGTAAAGGTACAGGGTAGAGACAGGAGCAGTGCAGGTCACCAGGACCACCTTACCATGTTTTCCTGCAGTAATTTCTGGTTTTGCACCTGAAAGAAAAATATACATTTATGTAAAAAAGCGGTCACATGATAATTTAGAATCGTTGTTTTATAAAACCAAACAGTAAAGTGGTCACAGTTAATACAACCCTTCCCTACCCTACTCTACTCTACCCTACTCCACCCTACTCTACTCTACCTTTCCCTACTCTACCCTACACTACTCTACCCTACCCTACTCTACTCCACCCTACTCTACCTACTCTGCCCTACCCTACTCTACCCTACCCTACTCCACCCTACTGTACCCTACCCTACTCCACCGCACTCTACCCTACCCTCTTCCACCCTACTGTACTCTACCGTACTCCACCCTACCCTACCTTACTCTACCCTACTAATCTACTCTTCCCTGATAGGAAGTGTTTCCACCTGCCCTGTTTAATCAGTACCAGCTCCTTCTTCAGTCCCTCTTGGTCCTGGATCCGTCCAGAATGAGATGATACTAAAGTGTTCTAACTGACAGTGATATGTCAGAGTGCTCCTGGAAGCCATGGTTACCAAGGAATTTCCCTGGATACTAGTTTGTTGTAGGTAGATTGCTAGGATATGGTACCATTTTGTTTTGTTTAATTAACAGGACATTGCACAATATATGTATTGTTCAGAGCGGACAAGAGTACAAGTTGATTTTCATACGTAGTACCAGATACATAATGGAAAAGCAAGAGTAGAGTAGAGTAGAGTAGAGTAGAGTAGACTTTACATGCGCTTTATACTCTTGTTTATTTGATGGCGTGGAATGATGTAAAAAATTATCTCAAAATTACACACACAAAAATCTGCAAGACCCCGTTAGAGAGAGGGACCACTGTACATTCTAAAAACCATCTAACATACAGTGCAAATAGTATAATTACGGAATTGATACCGTTCAAGAAATTCATGAAATTCAATCGCATTTATTTTGTACAGCCCTAAATCACAACAGAAATTTTCTCAGAGAAAAGTTGTCGATTCCTAAACAACAGATCATAGAATTGGCTCAAACACAGAAAATCCAATAATAACAAACATGTACAAGGTATTGGTCCGTTGATAGTATGGGGGCAGTTAAATAAATACTGTTTTAAGGCCAAAATGTACAAAAAGTCTATTTCAAAGCTCAACTTTTTATGCAGTGTTCTGTAAATACACAGGAAACGTTTGTCGTCCATCTGTCCCTTATTAGCTTTTAGCAGGCCCCTGCTAAAAGCCCTTATTAGCTTTTAGCAGGGGCCTGATGACTGCAGTTTAATACAATACACACATGTTCTCTCATAATAAATATTGTATACTCACTTATGAACAAAAGAAGTAGCAGACTCAGTGGCATGCTGACCGGACTGAACATCAGACCATCAGACCTCTCTGGTTTTAAGAGCTCCGGAAACCACCACAATGTCTACTTTTGAGAAACCTTGAGAAACTCTTCACACCGACCACAGAAGCACTCGTCTCTTTCTCAGTCGCTTTGGTGCATTTCTCACGTCATTCTTCACATTTGTACAACAGTTTGTGCATTTCTCAAAACAGTTAGTAAAAACTTCCAAACCTGCAAAAGTGTGTCACTTTCTCAAAAAGTGAATTCCTCAAAAGCAAGTATTGATTTCACTGGAACTGTCTGTGTCTCAGAATAATATGTCCTAACTCCAGTGTTTATGAACAACACGGTCACATCCCATGGTTTAGTCATGTTTTCATTGTCACACTTTACTCTCTGTATTTTCAATGCAAATGTGGCATGACGAGAGTTCAGAGTACAGGTTAAAATGTAGCTATTGTCAACAACGCCACCTAGGGTAGGCCTAGGACCCTGCACAAGGCAGACACAGGTTTGTTTCCGTTTTTTAAAGTGGTGGGGCAGAGACAAACAGAGACAAACCCAAACCTTATTACAAAAGTACAACATTTATTTTGTTGAAAACATTTTTAAGTTAGAAACATTTGGAAAATCATTATAATTGTCAAAAGCAAAAGGAAAATTAAAGCCGCAAGCGGCGTCGAACGGCCCTTGCCACACCGCGCAACTCCCCGCAGCGCGCGACTCCCCGCACCGCACCACGCCACATCGTGCCGCACCACACCGCCCCGCACCAAGCCGCCGCGCACAACACCGCCTCACACCACACCGCCCTACACCAAGCTAAAAGCTGCCCCGTGCCACGCTGCACTGCGCCACAACGCGCCATGCACCACGCCGCGCTATTATTTGGTCCCGTAGCCATAAAAAAATGTTTGTGAAATTGTAATGAATATGATGAGTTGAGTTGGTTTGGCTTCCAATGTAAAACTTTGACTCAGTCTGTAGGGGGCGCTAATTGGCCAAATTCAAATATTTCACTTTTACATGACCTAGACCCTAGAGTTGAACAATGTCTTAAAGTTTTGTGCAAATCAGACTTTGTTTGTGCAAAATTTTACGATTTTTTCGATCGTAAAAAATGGCAAAAAAAGATCACATTTTGCCGCTCCGCTGCTCGTACATTGTTTCACTGATCAAAAATCCCTGATGTCATTTTGAAAGTACATGTGTTAAGATGATGTGGAGCGATTTTGAGGCCAATCGGTGAAACGGCCGAGGAGGAGTTGCTTTCCAACCGACCTGAATGAAAATGTTTGCTTTTCATTTTTCCATTTTGCAGTGAAATTTATGGGCTTCCTGTTTGTCAGAGGGCTTGGCCATGGTAACATTTTTTCCATGTCTTGACTTGAGGAACATGTGTACCAAATTACATGGCTCTACGACAATTTTGACCTCGAACCCCTCCCATAGGCGTTTTTAAATTGGCTGTTGTAGGTGGCGCTATAGAGCCAATTTCAAAAATTTAACTTTCAAATGACCTAGACCCTAGAGTTGAACAATGGATTCAAGTTTTGTGCAACTCAGACTTTGTGCAAACGGAAGCAATTTTTCTATTGTCAAAAACTGAAAAAAATATGCCACTTTTTGGCGCTCCGCTGCTCAAACAACGTTTCACTGATCAAAAGTTTGTGAAAACAAAATGATGGTACATGTGTTTAAACGATGTGGAGCGATTTTGAGGCAAATCGGTGAAACGGCCGAGGAGGAGTCGCTTTGCAACCAACATGTGTGAAAAGGATCATGTTTCATTTGTCCGTTTTGAAGTGAAATTTATGGGCTTCCTGTTTGTCAGGGGGCGGGGCCATAATAACTTTTATTTCATGTCCTGAGATGAGGAACATGTGTACCAAATTTCATGCCTATACAGCAAACTTGACCTCGAAACGCTCCCATACTAAAAACTTTGACCCCATCTGTAGGGGGCGCTAATGAGCCAAGTTCATTTATTTCACTTTCAAATGACCTAAACCCTAGAGCTGAACAATGTATTAAAATCTTGTGCAAATCAGACTTTGTTTGTGCAAACGGGAGCAAATTTAATAGGGTCAAAAACGGCCAAAAAAAATTCACATTTTGCCGCTCCGCTGCTTGAACATCATTTCACTGATCAAAAATCGCCACAGTCATTTTCAAGGTACATGTGTTGAGAGTATGTGGAGCGATTTTGAGGCGAATCGGTGAAACGGCCGAGGAGGAGTCGCTTTTCAACCAACATGTATGAAAACTATTGCGATTCATGTTTCCATTTTGCAGTGAAATTTATGGGCTTCCTGTTTGTCAGAGGGCGGGGCCATAATAATATTTTTTTTCTTGTCTTGACTTGAGGAACATGTGTACCAAATGTCATGGCTCTACGACAAACTTGACCTCCAAAACCCCCATAGGGGTATTATTTTGGCTGTTGCAGGTGGCGGTGTTCTGGCTGACGCGTCCGTCACGCACCGCCACCATTTGCATTCACCATTGTGAAAGCATTTATTAGGCCCGAGCCCCAAACGGGCTCGGGCCCGTTTGGGGGCTAATAAATAAATAAATAAATAAAAAAGGAATTTTTTTTCGACGTCTCGAGCAAAAACAATATAGGTTTCAATGGCACCTGATAAATCATTTTAAAGCGTTTGAGTTTAAGCACGCAACCGTCACGTTGTGGTGAGTGGCCCTAGGCCCTTACCCCGTTCAGGGCTCGGGCCTAAAAACACATGCACACACACACACACACACACACACACATGCAAAGAACAAAACACAAAAAAACTAAGCAATCCCAAACTCAATATTTACAGTTAAAAATGTATAAAATTTACAACTGGGTGTCCAGGCGCTCCACAGCTGGAGCGACCCTGGCCTGTGAGTTCAACCCAGAGCAGCGGAGGCAGGAGGAGTTGCGCCGGTGGAAACAGCGCTCAGGATTTGTTTAGTGGCCGATTGGCAGTCTCCAAACTGCCGCGGGAGGTGCAGCTCGGTCCCGCTGAAGTGCTCCGCTGTGCGTAATTACGCACCAACTAAATGACAAGGAGGCTGACAAGGAAGATGACACCATGCTTACCCACAAGTAACGGCTGAGAAGCGGAATAGGCTCACGCAGCCCTTCAAAGATTGCCACACTGGAGGAGATGGTCACACTGGAGCAGGAAAAAGCGCGTGAGTGTCAAATGCGCAGCAAGTGGAGGTGTGAAAGATATGATAATGCGCACTCACCACAAAGAGCAGAAGGCCTTTCCCAGGGTAGCGCTCACACTGCACAAACCCCCATGCGTGCCAACAGGGCACCAAACTGCTGCCTGAAGTTTCTCACCAGCACAACTCCCACGGACCCAAAGGGGCTGTCACTTCCCGCAGGAGAGGGAAAAGAGTGAGATCCATCAGACTCTGGCCTAAAAACCCTCAGTCCTGCCCCTGCAATCCCCTGATCTGAGATTACATGGCCCAAGTACCCCACCTCACGCTGGAAGAATGAGCATTTCTCGAGCCGCACCTTTAGGCCCTCCGCCCTAAGTCGCCCGAGCACCACTTCCAGCCGCTGGAGATGTCATCGAGGTAGAGCAGCAAGGACTGACCCTGCTGATCCCCAAACATCCTCTTCATCAGCCGCTGGAAGACCGAAGGGTATGCGGTTAAACTCGAAAAGGCCGAAGGGGGTACAAAATGCTGTTTTGGGCCAATCTGCCTCGGTCACAGGGACCTAATTGTAGCCAAGTTGAGCGTTGAGAACCAGACAGCCCCAGACAGCGAGTCCAGTGTCTCCTCGATGCGAGGCAGAGGGAAAGCGTCCTCCTGCTTTTTGCTGTTGAGCAGGCGGTAGTCTACGCAGAGGCTTAAACTGCCATCCTTTTTTCGCACCAAAACGATTGATGAGGCTGCAGCTCTCCCGAATTACTTGAGCCTCAAGCAGCTGGTTGATGTGAGCCTTAACGGCCTCGTACTCCGACGGCGGGATGCGATGGTACCTCTGTCTAATCGGAACCTCGTCAACCAAAGGAATATCGTGTGAAATAAGGTTAGTGCAGCCCAAATCAGTCTCATGCGTTGCAAACACTGAGTCATAGTCCTGCAACAGACTCCTCACCCTGTCAGCGTCCTGGTCTATCAGGGCCGGTAGCTCCAATGAGGCTACTCTCTCAGGCATAGCGGGCCCAATGTTCTGAGAGTTCACAGAGGTCATCATAGTTCGATCCTCTGTAATGCCAGCCGGCAGACTAACAACCTGTGCCTCGCTGAGACTGCCAAGAGTGGTCCGTGGCTAGAGAAGAGCAGCCTTCGTCCCCACATTGACGAATATACGCTGTCCCACGAACCACTCGTACTAGGCAAGATGACACAAGCAGACCAGCAGGCAATCCAGTTTCCGGCGGCTCTAACAAGATATTACCTCCTGCAAACATCTCTGAACAAGTGCCAGCCACAAACTTAACCATTCCTCCAGGCACTCTGACTGCCGTTTCCCTCGAACCTTCACTGTACTTGTGGCCATATCCCTGTCCGGGCCAGCAGCATGGCACTTCTGTAATGCAATGACGACAGGTTGAGGTGCCTCCACTACAGCAGGAGCCTCAAAAAGAGAAGAGCCCAGTGTATGGAAAAGCTCTGCATAGCACCGACGTATAACATTCATCCCAAGATACCAGGAGCGGAATAAACTGCACCAGGGTGGTCCCTCACCACTAAAATCCCACAGCGTGAAACTACTTTGCCGCACAATTCCACATCAAGTTCTAAGTACCCAATATAGGGGATCTCCAGTCCATTGGCAGCCTTAAGCTGAAGCCAGCTGCAGGAACAAAGGCAATCTTGGCTCCATTCAGCCAACTGCCCGTGAAACAGACTCTCCGTAATGGTAGAAACCATGGAACCAGTATCCACCAAACAAGAGACCAAAACACCCCCAATGGAAGCTTCCATATTTGGGCACGACACCACCAGTACCCAATCTGTGAGCCTAAGGGCTCCCCACCTGAGCTGTGGCTCAACAACTCAGTGGGTGCTAGTTTTCCGACTGCCCACAGGAATGACCTGACCTAAAGTCCCTTGACCTCTGACCACCCAACCTACTTCGCGGTTGATTGTAAACCCGGGGACCAGTGCAATCCTGTGCAAAATGCCCAGGCTGTTGGTATCCCCAGCAAAGAAGAACTGAATGTGAACCATCCTCATGTGGAGAAGGGGCCTGCAATGATATGACTGTTTGAATTCATTTATTCAACTGCTCCTGCTGTTGCTTGAGTAGATCCAAAAGCTCTTTCATTGTAGGCCCTGACTGCCCACCCGGAGGGTTGTTCTGAGCACCACCCTGCACGGCACATTGGAAGCCAAGAGCTGAAGGTAAGGAATAGCTACGACCCCGAGCGCCCCCTGGCTGGCCTTCACGTTCCCACTTCATCGCCTCAGCACAAAGCTCCATCAAGGTAAGTGTGGGCTGCCTTCGAACCAGCTGTTTAAGCTCACGGCGCAGAGCACAATCCAGTACATGTTCTGTAAATTGATCCCTCAACAACACTTCTGCATTTGGCATCCAGGTCTGGGGCCTGCAGTCTAACTCGCACCATCAGGGACATCAAGGCCATCTGGCGCCGAGCAAAGAAGTCCTGTTGCAAGGAGATTTTACCTGGGTCGCTACGTTCACCAGCGGGACGAAACTTTATCTCCCGTTTAGCCTCTCCCTCCAAGTGGTCAAAGATGAAAAGAGCCCGGTCTGCAGCAGTTAAATGTCGGGCACGCATACATGCCTCAACCTCCTCGACCCATTCAGCTATCCCCATGCCAGCCCTCCCATTAAAGATGGAGCACTTGCGGTCCATTGGTACCACCAACAACTGCTCCGCTACAGCGGGGGTAGGGGACTGTGCATGTGAAGTGGAGGACTGAGAGGTGACCTCGCCAGGGTCCAAGGAACCAGCACGTTCCCAACGGAGCCGCTCGTTATCTACCTGAAGCTAGAAAAGAAGATCTTTTAGCTGCTGCACTTCTTCCATGTCTGCTCAAGAAACTGCCAAAGGTCCTGAAAAATCTTTTTTGGGTTCTAACACCACCACCGCTGTTCTGGATTTTTTTTCTCCACAAAAGTTATAGAAAAGTTAACAAACAAAACAAAAATGTCTCTGCCCCTTTAACTTAATGGAATCCTGTCAGCAACGCCACATGTGGCAAGTGGAGGCTACTAGGCGCTCCTAAAATAATGACAAAATAAATAAAAGAAAGAAAAACCAGCAACACCAGGGCAGAGTGCCCAAAATAAAATAAAAAGCGCTCTAAGGCGCACAGGTTCGTAAATCATAAGAGGCACAGGCAGACATCAAGTTTACTTGGATTTGTTATGTTAAGTTTAGTTCAGTTCTCCTGATTCAAATAGGTTCTGTTACATTTCATATTAATATTCACAAGTACACATCATCCTGTCACAAAGGACTCAGGAGTACAGGTGAACAACACACAACAGAAACATAGGAGAACATGGAGAAAAACGAGAGACAGCGGTAGAAACAGCGGTGGGCCGCGATGTGGCCAGTCCTCCAGCCTATGGGTTAAAGTAGAGTTACTTAACTATGAGCAACCACACAACTGTCAGTGTGTGCAGCTAAAACCTACTTTTATACAGCCTACACTGAGCGCGCACTCTTGACGAGTGGTGGTTTACAGGCCCAGACCCACAGCCAGCTACGACACACTCTTACCCCAGCAACGAGGGTGGCCAGACGCCAAAGCGACAGGACAACATGGCCATACAAAAGCAGGACTTGCGGGGCACATTGCCACACCGCAGCACTACAACAACAATTAACATTAGTGGCTGAAATGTACAAATATTAGACTCAACACTAAAACTATACTACCTGGAGCAGGAGAAGGGCTGAAGACACAGGAGACGGAAGTGCAGAGGTAAACAAAAGACGTAACTCTAGGCTATTTATACTGTCAGTATGCGCCCTCTGGTGGACACAAATATGGTGGCCAAGTGCAGCTTGCCACACAAACATGTCAGATCTTGGAGACACTTGTGCCGCTTTTCCATAGTCACGGCACGGCACGGCATCGGCCAAGTGTGGGTGGTTTTCCACAAAAATTGGTACCTCCAAGTATCTCTTCAGCGTGGGAAGGGTTGTCAAACCACGTAATTGTATTTGGCAAATATGCCTCCATCCTTGTTTATAAATGTACCACAGTTATACGGATTTACTGACAAATATAATGTATATAATGTGAATAGAAATAAAAGTATGTGGTAGGAAATCATAACTTTTGAACCCCTTTTCTGCACGTGTACAGACAAATGAATGAAACAAAGTCTTGATTCAATCACAGATTTATTAAAAACAGTTATTAAGTGCAAAACCAACAGTTTACAAAGTCCAAAGTACGTTTGAGACCTGGTCCAGATGAGGAGAATGTGAAGTACTCCAGTCACTCATTGCTCGTTGGTAATCTCTTCACTTGTGGGAACGGATTCTCAAACAAATAAATATACACACGAAAACTTAAGTGCAAACTTATTGTATCATCAGCCCCTCCCACCTCCACCAACCATTCAGACACACACCAGACGCATTCTAATGTGGGTGAAGTGTCTTGTCTGAGGACACAATGACAGTTTGGTACCTACAGCCACCCCAACGTGGCACCTGGTGTTCCCAGAGGTCTCCCATCACATTACTAACCAGACCCTACCCTGCCGAGCTTCAGAGGTTTGACAGGATCTGGCTTCCACCTGCAGCTTTGGTCAAGTACCTGAATGATTTAGCGCATTATTTATCATCCATGTGACTTTAAACTACTCATGTCCAATAAATATTATATAACATAAATTAATAATATAATAATAATTGGAACAACAGAGATAAAAACTCTACTTGTCATGACTCCCAACAGTCCTGACAAAAAAAGGTCCCTTCATCCATTTATATCAGTTCAGGAAAGAACTGAAAGCAGCCAAGTCCCGGCACAGAGAATGACTACAGGAGCAGTTTGGTAACAACAATACTGCTTCTGTCTGTAGGGGCCTACGGGAGATCACCAACTACAAGCCCAAAGCCCAGCCCTGTGCTGACGACCACAAGCTAGCTGACGAACTGAACTTTTTTTTCAGTTGCTTTGATGCTGCCCCTGACGCCTCCCCCACCCCCCACTACTCTAACGACCCACCCATAAGCCCTGCCCCCAGCCTGACAATAGCCTCGAAAGATGTTAAACAACTCTTCTTGAGGCTGCACCCCCGCAAAGCTCCTGGCCTGGACCACTTGTCTCCGGCCACTCTGAGACACTGCGCCAGTGAGCTTACTCCTGTGTTCACTGACATTTTCAACACCTCTCTGCAGTCCTGCCATGTCCCGGCCTGCTTCAAATCCTCCATCATTGTCCCCGTCCCGAAGAAGCCCAGGATCACAGGACTCAATGACTACAGACCTGTAGCACTTACGTCTGTCGTCATGAAGTCATTTGAACGCCTGGTCCTCTCCCATCTCAAGTCCCTCACCTCCCCCCTCCTGGATCCCCCATCACCTCTGTGGAGTCCTTCCGTTTTCTGGGCACCACCATCACCCAGGACCTCAAGTGGGAGCCGACCATCTGCTCCCTCATCAAGAAGGCCCAGCAGAGGATGTACTTCCTGCGGCAGCTCAGGAAAGCCAAGCTGCCTGAACAGATGTTGGTGCAGTTCTACACGGCCATCATCGAGTCCATCCTCACCTCCTCCATGACCGTGTGGTTCGCTGGAGCCACAGTCAGGGACAAACAGAGACTACAGTGCATCGTGCGCTCTGCAGAGGAAGTGATCGGCCGCAGCCTTCCATCGCTGCAGGACCTATACGTCGCCCGAGCTCGAGGCCGGGCTGGTCGTATCACAGCCGACCCCTCTCACCTGCACATGGACTATTCCAACCACTCCCCTCAGGCAGGAGACTGCGGTCCATCAGGACTAGAACCTCCCGCCACAAGAACAGTTTCTTCCCCTCTGCTGTTGGACTCTTGAACACTTCTTAACCTGTCCCCCCGCCCTTTATAAAGTCACTTTACTGCCCATCATACGTCACTTTACTTCACTGTACTGCTGTCACCTTACATTGTGTGCACCATGTGCACTTGTATATTGTAAATAGTAACTGTAACTCTATTTTAAATTTAAATGTATTCCTTACAAGTGTTTTTTATTCTTTATTTTTATTCTTTACTTTTATTCTTTATTTTTATTATCTCTTTCTGACTGTTGCACTGAGCCAAAGCAATTTCCAAGTCTGTGACTTCCTGTTACTTACGTGGCAATAAAAATGATTCTGATTCTGATTTTATTCTACTTGTAGTAGGTTAGAAAATGCCTCATAAAATGTTTTTTGTGGAAACAGACACCCCCTCTATTTTTTTTGTATTTTTATAAGTGTTTTATTTTGCGTAACATACCCACTCCAACCAGTAGGTGGTGCTGTAGCGCTACTGTGGTGACTAGAGGGACAGCGGAGCAGTGTTGCCAACTTAGCGACTTTGTCGCTAGATTTAGCGACTTTTCAGACCCCTATAGCGACTTTTTTTCAAAAAAGCGACTAGCGACAAATCTAGCGACTTTTTCTGGTGTTATTGGCGACTTATCTGGTGTTTTGGCGACTTATCTGGTGTTTTGGAGACTCGTGAAGCACGTATTGTTCTGCTGTCCTCAACGTGAGCCCCTCCCCCGTCCCAAAGCACTTACAGGCGGCCAGTCTCACAGTAGCCTTGCGCAGCAGTCCCAGCTACAGTCTATGGGCGGAGCAGAGAGAGAGAGAGGAGACTCAAAAGCACAGGAAGTTTTCAGGCTGCTGCAGACTGAACTTCAGCTCCACCACCACCACACATCCAAAGCTCCCCGGCCACTCCTACCACCGCCACCCCCCACTACCCCCACTCCATCCGCGGCAGCTCTGTCCGTGACTCTGTTTTCTCTCAGTAGTGGGTCACATTAAATCATTTGTTATGCCAAACTATGAAAAAAAAAAAAAACTTACAAAAATAAACCTAAGTAACTCTGCCAGAGTGTGTCTTTTGGGTCACTTTGCCGGTCCCAAGCCCGGATAAAGGAGGAGGGTTGGTTGTAGAGCTAGCAATTTCACCCTACATAACAATCTTTTGATTACATTTGCTGTTATAACATTTAACAATACAGGACAAAACTGATGTGTGTAATGTGGATCTAGACAAAGCATTAAAATCATTAAATGTTGTTAATGTTGAAATTATTTTTGTACATTTGTAGTTCTAAACATATTTAGGGTGTTTTTACTCACTTTTGTCTCTCCCACGACCTTATTCCTCTCTCCTACAGCGTCCGTTACAGTTATTTTCAAATTGCAAATTATGCAAATTAGGCGATGACGTCATTTAGCGACTTCTAGCGACTTTTGGGACAGCCAATAGCTACTTTCCTTACTGAGGAGTTGGCAACACTGCAGCGGAGGCGCAGCTCTCAGTAGTAAAGAAGCTGTGGCCTGATAAACATGTGTCCTCTCTGTCTATCCACAGGTATGGTTCAAAAGTTGTTTTTATTAACTTTAAACTTGGTCACCATATGCTATGTATTTTTTTATGTGCACAAATTGTACAGTTAAGTAGTTTTGAGGGTCTAGCAAACGTTAGGAACGCATTTTTATACTGTGTTCTGTAGTCCCGTTTCTAACGTTTGTATGTCATGTTTGAGTCAAGTAAAGTAGTAGCAGTGATGTGTTTCAAGTCCTATCCAAGCAGTTAATATGCTAACGTGTATGTGTATGTATAAGTGTTATTACCTAGTTTGTGTTGCGAGTGCAGACAGTTTTAAGATTCAAGTGCTAGTAGTTTTTTCTAGCCGTTAAACCAGAGACTTTTTCCCGCCGTTGGAGGCGCATTCTGTTAAAATGGCTGACCTGCGTGTGTGTATGTGTGTGTGAGGCAGGGAGAGACTAAGAGAGACAGATAGGAATTATAAGTGAAATGTCTATTTTTATGCATTTTCTGTACTGAAGTAGCTGTTGTGTGGTATGGAGTGAATGTATAATAGTATGTTTTATTATTTTATGTAATTATATGTATTTTCACTTGCACTTTTTGGGTTATTTTAGCATTTATTATTTTTGTCAATTTATAATTTATTTTTGTGGTCCAATTGTGTATTTTTGTGTGTATTCATGTTGATTTGAATAACTCAGTAGTAAAGAAGCTGTGGCCTGATAAACATGTGTCCTCTCTGTCTATCCACAGCTCCAGTTAAATAAGCGTCACAGAGAAGTCATCTGTGTGCGCACTTGTTACTGCCCAGCTTCCCCTAGGGCTGGTGCCGGTAATATACTCAGTCCATTTCTTGGTCGGGAGGTGGCAGTCAGTCCCTCCCTGATCCTCCTGCAGGTGAGGAGGCCACAGGAGGAGAAAAAACAATATTGTTTCAAATAAAAAAATGCAACTCACGTAGATTTACAAAGGTTTTATTCGCAGAAAAGCAAAGACAAGTTAAAGAGATTCAGCTCAATCCTCATCTGAGTCTTGACATATGTCACACGCGTGTATCATGCAACATACGTACCTGTAACGACATTGGATTATTGTAAAACTATATCATGTAAAGTCACACGTTTTGACCAAATGTTATAAAAAGAAACTCAGGATACTATTTTCAGACGTTTTGAGACGTCTCCTGCAGCTGTTTTGTTCAAAAATGTAAATAAAATCTGACGTTCATTAAAGGCAGTAAACTAAAATAAACTACTACTGTCGCCACAGCTGCCCTGAGGCACACTGAGAGAAGCGAGGCAACATGGGATCTGCTTCAAACAGTCGAGATCTTTGATGACAAGATCAACTCTACATGTCCATCCCACGTCAGGGGATTCTGAAATTTTAATTATTTTCAAGAAGCCTTTTGTCCGACCATAACAGCAGCTCACAGAGACTATGGAACTGTGATTGAAATGGTAAATGGTAAAAAGTGTGTTTCTTATACAAATTAAATACACTTACCATTCTTGTCCATACATTTGAATCTCCATCATCTGTAAGACAAAAGTTTTAATCATTAGGTTTAAAAATGGAACTAAAAGAACAAAGTACAATATCTAGCTTCCCCTTACCTGAGCGTCGTGTACTTGTAGGAAAAACAGTCAAAGAATTAACACTCATTTTCTTATTAATAATAAATAAAGTAAGTCAGATCAATCAAATTGTTTGCTCAGAGCACTTACATGTTGATGTTACATGTGCCTAAAGAAAGAAACAAGTTTTATTTAATGTCTGTCTTATGTTTGTCTGAAGATTGTTACAGAGGAGACAGAACGTTTGAGTTTTTCACCTCTTCGTAAGCACACAGCTGTCAGGACAATGCCCACCATCAGACCACAGAACACCAGCAGGAACTGTTGCCCGGTGGAGCAATCTGTTTGAAAGGGAATGTGTTTTATCACATACAAATACTTTTGAAGAGAAATAGTATCCACAAATCTTTCTTCTGTTTCGCTGAAAGTCGCCAAACTCACTTATGACCCTCCCCTTCTTTCCCCAGCACCTCTTATTTCTCGGCCGCACAAATGCACAGACACAAAATACAGGTCAAGCAGTTTTAATAGAATCAATAATACATTTGATAATGAATTAAAGCCTCAAGTGGCGTCGCAGCGCGCAAAGGAGGTGGCGCTGACGCACCATCTTCCTACAGCCCTGATGGGAGCGACACTGTGCATAATAAATGCCGATGATCAGTGACTGTGCGTCGCCACTGACACATAATGGGGGGTATTTGTTGTCGCCACGGCAACAAAGTACAAAATAAGCCATGGGTCTAATTGAGTTTTTGAATCAGGATGGCAAAACAGATTAATGTGCAACAATTTTGAGACAACTAACTATCTTTCTGCCCATGTAAAACTTGACTCAGTCTGTAGGGGGCACTAATTCTGCAATTTCATGATTTATACCTCAGTTTACCCAAACCCAAGAGTTGAACAATCAATTCAAATTTTGTGCTAATCAGACTTTTGCCCAATACTCGCACTTCCACCTCGCGCCCCTCATTTGCGCGTTCCCGATGATGGGTGCGAGTGCGTAGGGCGTCCCAATTCTCCAGGGAGGCCTTTGGCCCCGCCCCCTTTGCGCCCCTGATCCACACTTCGCCGTAGTCTTCATCTACGTGGACTCTGGCGAAGGATATTGCCCATAATTCTTTGCGGTACACACCAACACGTCGGGAAAATGCATTTAAGTGTAAGTTTTGAAATATAAATGCTGTATGTGTGTAAATAAGTTTTGTTGTTACTTGGAAAGAAGCATAAATGTGATGAAGAATTACGGACATTTTATGCTAACAATTTAATAACTTTTTTAATCCAAACATTCATATAACATCCAATTTAAACTTTACACTTAGTACAATAAACTTAGGATGTATAAAAACTGACCAGATAACCTTTACCCACATTTAACTTAAAATTATACAGCTACCTAAAATTACAAATAACCAATATACATTTATTTTAATGTTTGTGAAGCAACTCATTAACTACTACTTTTGTTTCCCACAGGGTCAGACGAAATGATCTTTAATTTGATAAACTTTAGGGCTGAAAGTGACCATCTCTTGACGAGTCGATGACGTAACCTGCACTCAGTGTGCACTGTCCCAATTTTTTACATGCTTGTAACCTGTCACTCAAACCCTCGCATGCACTTCAAACAAATGCACACTTCATAGAGGCGTGTAGGGTGCAGTGTGGGTATTGAGACAGGGCCTTGTATGTGCCAACGGAGGGCATTGACTTTGCACAATAGCGCCCCCTACAAATACATCTTTTTGTTCTCAAAGAACACAGAAATAATACATTGCTTAATGCAATAGTTTACACACTAGGTAGTCTCATCCCACTCTTGTTTACTCCACCGGCTGCGTAAAACGTACTACGTATCCGTTTCATCTTTGTTTTCGTTTTCTCCATGAGGGTGAATGGAAGTGGCTCCACAACAGGCGTCTGTCTGACGCGCGTCGGGAGCTGTCCGTCCACGCAGGGTGCAACAGACGCGGACGGACGAAATAGAAACAATCATATTTTTTACGTCCGTCGACGCGTGTCGGGTCCATTTTCCATTGAAAATACAATGGAAAAATATATTTACTACATTATTAAACATGTATTGATGCTGTAGTCCTTGGTTATAAGTGTTTGTTAATGACAATGGTTATTAACAAATGTGTGTAATTAATTTTCATGCATTCAATTGAAATAATTGTTTCTTGACAGTAAATCTGCCGTTTATTTTTTGCGTAATGTCAATATTGACTCGCTTTCAAAAAAGCCTGGATGTGATGGAGTTCTTTTCTCTTTTCTCCCTCCCCTTTTTCCAATTGCTTTTAGTTTTTTTTTGCCTCATCCATCGCAACGTCCTCGATGCTTCAATATGTCGTGCTTTGCATAGATCACAGCCACAGCTCATGCACATCACACACCGCTTCTTCTATTTAAAACAAAGCCTCACGGGGCTGATAAACGCACGGCCAAAGCTGCGCTGCTGCAGCCGGTGTGGCCACTATTCCGTTTTACAGACGTCTGACGGGCAGCAGCCTACGCGCATAAACGGAGACGCAGCCGGTGGAGTCCTGGCCTAAGATTATTGTAAAGCTAGACACCTGAACCTACAGGACAGACCAAAAGTTTGGGCACACTTTCTCATTCAATGAGTTTCCTTTCTTCTCATGACTATTGACTGTAGATTCACACCAGGCTGTGTAAGGGCTGTTTGACCAATAAGGAGAGTTATGGTGCTGGCCTCCAGTTACTGGACCGGAACCCAGTCCAGATGGTTTTGGATCTGAACCCCATCCAGATGGTTTTGGATCTGAACCCCATCCAGATGGTTTTGGGGCTGGTCCACAGAGTGAAGGCGAAACGGCCAAAAAGGTCTAAGCATCATGGGAACTCCTTCAGGTCCTCTTGAAGCTCACCAAGAGAATGCCAAGAGTGAAGCAGTATCAGAGCAAAAGGTGCTACTTTGAAGAACCAGAATATAACACATATTTTCAGTTGTTTCCTACTTTTTTTAGTACGTACATAATTCCATATGAGTGAATTCATAGTTTTGATGCCTTCAGTGTGAATCTACAATTTTCATAATCATGAAAATAAAAAAAACTCTTTGAACGAGAAGGTGTGTCCAAACTTTTGGTCTGTACTGTAAGTCACTGAATTATCTCAGCAGCAGTGGTTGTCAAGGGGCGACAGTAGCTCAGTTGGTAGAGCATTGGCCTTAAGGCCAGAAGGTTGTGGGTTCATTTCCCACCTCTGCACCTTCTCCACCGACTCCCACTGATGACTGCTGTCGTTGTGTCCTTGGGCAAGACACTTAACCCCACTTTGCCCAAAGCCCCCACTGAAATATCAAGGCTATGCTCACACTCAGAGAGCAGCCGTCCTCCTGTGGACTCACCACCTGCAGAGGATCAGTGAGGGGCTGGTGCTATGAGACTTGGGTGGCATCTCTGACTGCCACCCCCCTGACCCAGAAATGGATTAAAGGGTAGAAAATGGATGGATGGATGGATGGATGGACAGTGGTTGTCAACTCATGTAATTTAATTTTAATACACAAGATGTCGCCAGAATACTCCAACCTGCTACTGGGGCGTGTGTGAGAGTTGGATGGATTTATATCACTGGCGCAGACAGATGCACGTCACACACAAACTGGACCAAATTCAAATTTAGTTCCACCAAAAAGGTAGAGAGGGCGCCACAAACATTTTTAGGCTCAATAGTGAGATTTTATCTAATTTGCATTCAAATGTCAAATGTTATACCTGGGCTTCACCCAGGCATTACTCATTGGGAAAGCATAGGCCCTTACCCCAGATGGGGCTCGGGCCTAAAAATGAGAAACCAGAAGGTGGGGAAGCATATCTGCAGTTATTTTACAAGGCTAAATTGTCAAAAATAAAGAGAAAATAAATGTAATCAGACTGAACTGACCTGTGCACTGAGGAGGAGTCTCTTTGTCTGCAGTCTTTGTCACTTTACTATCAAGAGGAAGATTAGTCTCTGAGTCATTGTGGAGAGGAGAATTATACTCTCCCTTAAAGTCTGCAAAGAAAACAGTTCATCAGTAAAAAGATCACGTGATACATTTAATTGTATATTGATCGTGTTTGATGGTGTTTACTTTTGAATGTGCTGGAAAACTGCAGCAAGTTCTAAGTGTCTCTGAAACAGCTGTTGTTTTGTGATTTACAATTTTTATTTTTCATTCTTTTTTCTACCTAGAGATGTTGCTGCAGTTCAGTGTTCATGGTTTTACACTGGTCCAGACCAGAGCAGAGAGGAATCATAGTTTTACCATCCATCCATCCATCCATTTTCTTCCGCTTTATCCGTTGCCGGGTCGCGGGGGCAGCAGTCTAAGCAGAGACTTCCCTATCCACACACATATCCTCCAGCTCGTCCGGGGGGACCCCAAGGCGTTCCCAAGCCAGCTGAGAGACATAGTCCCTCCAGTGTGTTCTAGGTCTTCCGCGGGGCCTCCTCCCGGTGGGACGTGCCCGGAGCACCTCCCCAGGGAGGCGTCCAGGAGGCATCCGGAACAGATGCCCGAGCCACCTCAACTGGTTCCTCTCGACGTGGAGCTCTACTCCGAGCTCCTCCCGTGTGACTGAGCTTATCACCCTATCTCTAAGGGAGCGCCCAGCCACTCTGCGGAGGAAGCTCATTTTGACCGCTTGTATCCGCGATCTCGTTCTTTCGGTCATTACCCAAAGCTCATGACCATAGGTGAGGGAGGGAACGAAGATAGACCGGTAAATTGAAAGCTTTGTCCTTTCGGCCCAGCTCCCTCTTTACCACAACGGTCCGATACAGCGATCGCATCACTGCGCACGCTGCACCGATCCGCCTGTCAATCTCACGCTCCATTCTTCCCTCACTCGTGAACAAGACCCCGAGATACTTGAACTCCTCCACTTGAGGAAGGACCTCTCCACCCACCTGTAGAGGGCAAGGAATCTTTTTCCGGTCAAGCACCATGGCCTCGGATTTGGAGGTGCTGATTCTCATCCCAGCCGCTTCACACTCGGCTGCAAACCGCCCCAGTGCATGCTGCAGGTCCTGGTTCGTTGGAGCCTACAGGACAACATCGTCTGCAAACAGCAAAGATGAAATCCTGTGGTCTCCGAACCGGACCCCCTCCGACCCCTGGCTGCGCCTAGAAATTCTGTCCATAAACACAGT